ATATATTAATAATATGTATTGGGAATATTCCATTGAAGTTATACTCTACTTTTCTTTCATTCCTGCATTTTTACAGTAGAGGGAGTTTGTACAATGTTGCTCGCTTGGGTTACTTTGTATCATTTAATTTTTCCACCAGATGAACAACGGTGACGGTTACCACTTTTTCTCAGATCGACCATCAAATCATCATCATCATTTTTTTATATCATTAAAGTAATATAAAAAATTACAGCTTTCATTGATTAGCAACTTTCTATAATCAATCAGTACAATCAGATTTATTATGAGTTATTTTCAAAACATATGTTTCTTTTTATTGATCTATTCAGTAGTTTTTACGTAAAAGAGTTGCAAACATCCATCCATCCATCTATCCGTCCATCCTCACAACACCTCACACTTTCGCGTTTATAATATTAATAAGGTGATGCTGTATTCGATTAAAAAAAAATTTTATACATGTATAATTTAGAGAATAAGCCTACAATTCTACATTACTTTTCATATTACAATAAAACTATAATAATACTTAATTTACGTACTTTTACTCAAAACGTACGTTGACTTTTGGATTATAAGTATTCATATATTTTAAGCCCCAATAATTTGTCGCTTATTACAATATAAATTTTTAGTAATGTTTAAAAATATAAGAAAATAATGTCAACTGTGCTGAAATATTGAAGGAGCAATCAAATGAAGACTACATATTGTTGCTTCTGACTGTACCCATTATAGTCTTATTGTGCATTGGTATATATTTAATTGCAGAATCTATAAATGCTCATAGTGAATCACTATAGACTGTTGTTTTAAATTCAACAATGAAGTGGCTACGATATTCAAACATGCGTTACCTATAATATGTTATCAGTTTTCGTTATCTGATACTGTATCAACAAAAGTATAACTCACTTAGTCGAATGGATATTTATGTATTTATTTCACGATATTTGTTTTTCTAGACGAATTATAGAGGTCGATTATAATCCAACCAAATTAAGAAAGAACCCGGACTCTTCCTAATTTATCCACCTTTAATTACACATAATTTTCTAATGTTATTTATCTTTTTTTTTTAATTAATGACTATTTATACAAATTAGATGAACAATACAAAGTTAATAAAGGTTACCCGTACCAATTGCTACAAATTAACTCTAAAATACGGTATGTAGAATTATACGATAATACCAGAAATTCAACCATTCTCAATATTTAGTAATAAAAATGCTTGGGAAATTATAAAAATATAAATAAAAACACATATATTGAGTAAAAGTTGAGGTCTGTCATCACGGGAATAACAATATCAACTAATAATTTCACTTTTGTATATATTTATGTTCACCGTACATACATGAATAATATAACAGTTACATATCAATTGCGACTTAGGTGAGTTTAAATATACAGGAAAAAAGTGTTTTTATATAGCCGTCTCATATTGTACACAATAATTCTAGGCATAGAGAGAAATAATTTCTCTGGAAACTCACTAGTTAATCAACATCGGCCACAGTAGATCATTCATCATTAGAAATTGTATCTCAAGCAGTAATAGCAGGTCAACCTAACGTATTATATGATTTTTCAACACGACCTAACATAGAAATCAACTTTACGTATCATTTCACAGAGCAACCGAGTATTATGATATAGAACTGCCATCATTATGAACACGGTTTTCCAATATTAATATCAAGCACATGCGTTTGTCGAATATGAATCAACAATTTTATTGATTCTAACAAACAATACTGAATATCGACAGAGATATCCGCGCAAATAACTTTGTATAAAGTCTACCTGCTCAAATTTTACCTTTTAAAATTATTTTACAGTAAAAATGACAATTTAAAAAATATTTTAATTTTATAACCGTATAAATATTAGGCTAACAAAATTGATGTAGTTTTCATTTTTTACTATGCCATGAATTCTTTCACTCAAATTCATATTACGAGAGAATGTTTTTGACTTTTACTATAAGAATATATTTAACGATAATAATAAATATCAAATGACAAATGAAGACGCCCGGAAATAGCATAGTTTTTAATTTAAATTTGCAATGAATTTAATAAATTTATTGTAGCTAAACTGTTACGCATCATATGACACCTCTAACTTGGAGTCTACGTGCAAAACGCTAATGGATTGCGAACCCAGCTCCTGCAGTTATAATGATGTATGGATATGCTCTGTTTGTCTTATGAATGCCACGGAATATATTGTAACGATGTTATCAATAGCAAGTAAAAGCTTTTGTTGAATCCAATATTTCTATCTCGTATTGAGGTAAAATTTATGTTATTCTTGCAAAAGATATACGAATCGAAAACAATGTTACTTATAATAAGAGGTAGTATAATATATTATTATATATAGGGAATTAGGTGACTGTCTTACAAAAAATTAATTGAACAGAGATTTTACAATTTTTTTTGTCTACTCTGTACACATCGTCATATATATATTTCAAGTCATTTGTGCGAGAGATTGTCCTCACTTTTAACATATTATATATATTTATATATTTTATAATAAAAAATAATATAATATAATATACTAAGATATATTTAAAGTACACGCGATTTATTATCACATTAAATCTGGTGAAAACATGACATCAGTTAATTTAAATAGGATTAAAAAATATTTTCATTTCTTTTCATCATCATTCATCTTCACTTCACTTATGCAATTTAAATTGATTCCCTATCATTTACTTCCATAACATTATTGAGAAAAAGTATAATAAATATATATTAATCGTAAAAAAAATCAATGTAGAAATTAGAGTCAAAATATAAACTAAAACATATACCGGAAGTCACTAGAGACCTGTCACGTTATTCACTTTTATTAAAATCGTATATTTGTATCGATTACTTCTTGTCAAACTTGTACGGGACTTAGGTTGCTAATACACTGAAGCAATTGCTCCACCGTCCCTAGAGCCAAGAAAAACAAAAGTCTATTACAAACAAAGAACTGGCATGAAAGGTTAAATATTGTAAAAGTTTGAATAAGGAACGGAAGTTTGCCACTGAATAGATGTGCTATAATTTGTCATATGTACAGAGTGTTTCAATATTATATGTAAATATTTTTTTAATAATAATCTACTATTGCGTAATAAAACACCGTACCAATACTACCTACCTACCTACCTACCCTACGTAACCTTCCGCCTTCCTCCTCAATAAAAAATATTATTTTAAAGATTTCATAAAAATAAAAAACAAAAGTACATATATAATTAAGTATACTCGTAGTTTTGACTAATGTGTGCATTTATTAACTGATGATCTATTGATAATTTAAAAATATTGAACTTTATTTTGTATCTTATATAATAGTAATAAATGCTACTAAGGTACTATTAAAAGCAGCATTTATTACTATTATCTCAGATTAACTTATTAATTTCTCAGATAAGCTTTTTAATTTTATAAACAAATTACTCAGTAAAGTAACTAAAACTTAGTAACTCTAAAATTAATTATTAATAGTATCTACAAATACTGTCTATAATACTTTTATTATAGTACTACGAGTAGATAATACTCGTTAATATACCATAGACAAAACTAAAATTCAGCTCTGACAGGGCATTTATCGATTCCATATTGTATTCTACTTGAAAACATCCTCCTGTATTAGTAGTCTTACCTAGTCAGAAAATATTATTATTACCAAGTTGCCCTTTATCTCCCTCTATTTTGGAGGCAAAACAAAGCTATTACAAGGATACGGCAATCTAGATATTCGTCTAATAAAAGTTGATAGCACACTTGTACCTTAATGAGGTTATAAAACTTTTAGATTCCGACTTCTCGATTACTACCGTTCATCATAGAATTATCTTTATTAGTTTTAGGGTTCCTCGAAAGGCGGGGAAAAGGCTGCTGCAGCCTTTTCCCAAAATATACGATTATGCCTATTTATTACTTACTATAGCAGAAATGGTTATTTGTATTAAATTTAAAAGTTAATTCTTTAAAGTCTAATGCATACCTATATCTATCACAGTCGTAATATAGTTGTGCGAAATTAAGGCTGGAATTTGAAAGTGTCCGGTTAGATAAAAAGGCATGTGCAAAGAATGTCTAAGGAAAGCAGGATAATGAAATTGTATATATTTGTATATACAATTTGAAAGTAGAAGGATACCTAATCTGGGAAGATCAGTTGAGTTTCCTGCAAGTTTAGTAATAAAAAATAGTCGTTTTTAGTAATAAAAAATTACATGCATAAGCTGAAAGTATTCCTTATGATTTTGAATTTGAGTTTGATTTAAAATAAATGTATGCTACATAATTAGACCATAAAATTTAAATTACATATAACTATTGGCAACAGACATTAAAAAGATAAATTTGTAATATGTTTTCATATTGTAATTACAAACCTAGGAAAATACTAATTAGTAATACATTATACATTTTAATAAAAAATAAAGATTATTTGAATATTCCTATAATTAATTATTGAAAATAAGTATGAACACCTACAATTGTTTCTATTTTAATGTACCTACGCTGTATAAAAAGCAGGTAAAAAAAATACATTTTATGTATAAACAGAGCTTGTTAAAAACTTCTATTATAGAAGATCAAATTCCTAAAGGGTCATATTTAATTACGCTAAAAAAGTGAACACGTTTTTCGTAAAAGTGTATAAAATATATATTACTATTAAATGATCCATAGTTTCGTATAGAAAATACTGGATTAACAACTTAATAAAAAGTCATTATGTGGTGTCTGCAGTCACTAGAATAGCTCCAATGAATTATCGAATGATTAAAGTTGAATCTTTTAAGTATCAAATAAGTTGTTATATAAATACTCCGATCATATCACGTTACATATAATTACATGACAAATATTTATACCATTTTATAGGATTCTGCTGTACTTTAGGTTTCGTCACGATATAATGAAGTGGTTACATATTTACTAATTTCACCAATTCTATTTTTTTTACAGTTATTCGGTGTTTCCATATTCGCCCTTTGTCTATGGATCTGTTTCGAGCCCGGCTTCAATGAATGGATGAGGACCTTGGAACTCCAAAAGTATTTCATTGGAATCTACATCATCCTTATCGGATCGCTGATCATCATGACGGTTTCATTCGTGGGTTGTGTTGCAGCTCTTGCGGAAAATTCCAAAATTTTATTTGCGGTATATAATTTTATTTATATTTTTATATTAAAACTATAAATTTTCAGCGACTTTGCTATTTTTTTAGTTAAAAGATAGCCTATATCCGGGCTTGTGATACAATTTATATTTGCGACAAATTTCAGTGTAAAGTCCATTCAGCCGGTTAGCCATCAACATTTAAAGAAAAACTGACAGATACAGAAACAAACACACATTCGTATTTATAATATTAGTATGGATTAGCACCTGAGAACTAGAATAAGCAACAAAGGCATTTATTATGCAAAATATAGATAAAAATCTCTAGATAATAATGAAAATTCAAAATTAGTCGCTTAGTTTAAAACAAACAAACTGAGAAACAGACAGACGGAAATATATTTTATACTATTTTTTTATACAAAAATATATGCTAGGGGTGTCTTCCCTTTGTTTTTTCTCATCTATTATTTTCCCCGCGCTAAAAGGGATGCATGGTAGTTCCCCTAACATCAATTCTCACTTGCATCTGACTCTGAATAGAAAGTATATTTAATAAAAAGATATCCTTCTGTCAACAAATAGAAAATATAGTACAGACTGTCACGACTGTTATCCCAGATTGTCAACTGTTATTTGTGTTCAATGAGACACATGAACATGCCACCTTTCGCTAGGTACCTAAATTTGAATCCACCGTGACAAGAACCTACCGCCGTATCTCGGATTAATTTTTGATTTTATATGTCTTTTGACGGCAACGGTAGTCTATCGGTTTAGCACACCACTTTACTTTCGATGGCCGCGGGTTCGATTCCTCGCACGGTGCAAACATTTGTATATATGGGTATGATTGTTTGTATTGGTCTGCTTGTTTTCTATGTATCTATATATTAGTATGTATTTACAAAAAAATATATCTAAATTTATTGGTTATATAATACCCACGCTCTGCTTACTATGGGACTAGATGACGCTGTGATTATTGTCCAGGGCTTATTTATTTATTATATTTAACAGTTTTCTCTTCGTCGAAAAGTCAGTCAGAAAAATAAATTAACACGCATTATAATTATTTCTTGCCTACCAAATCTGAACTCACAACCACTTACGCGTAATTCAAGATAGGAGGTACGCCACTAAGCCACAACGTTTTAAATGCTTTAGATAACTAACAATATTCATTAATATGCTACATAGTCTATTAGTAGGGACTATGTACATACATCTTATCTAATTTTCATTCATCTGCAGTAACATATACGTGGACTAGGTGAGATTAACCTACGTTAATTACATTACCAGTGATAGGTACCTACGTCTGTTTAGACAGTAGTGCCAAATTAGTTTATAACGGTAGGTATACCAAATTATATCTAAGGTACATTTGACTAATTACACCAAACTCTTATAATAATGTTATTAAAATTTATGATAATGAATATGTTAATTTCGCTTGTTACTAACTTATGTACTATATATATCCTAAAAATAAATAATAAAAAATAAAATAATACCCATTAATTTCCTTTAATTTTGCTTTTCACTTATTTATTTTTATTATTTACAGTATATTGGCACCCAAATAGCGGCGTTCGTATTTGGACTCGTGGGATCTTGCGTGGTCCTTGATTTCTCCACATATGATTCCAGCATACAGCCTATTATTAAAGACGTTTTTCTGAGATTGATTCACAATCCTCAACACGAAGGAAGCAAGTTGATCTTAAGGATGGTACAAGAAGGAGTAAGTTACATTTAATACCACACTATTAATACACCTATTACTTATAGAAAGAAATAAGATTATTGTTATCGAAATAAAGAATAGTTCTTATAATAAAATTATAGACATATGTTTATGATAAGGACTCAATAAATTTTGTAATATTAGGATAATTTAGTACCACTATATTTATATAGGTATAATACTTTAAGTTATTGGATTCTACTCATCCATTCCATCTCTTTTAACTCATGCGTAGGGGGGCTATGAGCAAACTGCTCGCACAAAAATCAAAGCTCAATATTTGAAGCTCTTAGGTTCCTTTCTAACTATTCATGCTCTCCCTGATATAACACTCATGCTGGGCAATTCCTTTGTAATTGTACATCTTTGGAGGTTCAGGTCCGGTTAGGTCGCTCATCATTTCAGACTATGCAGAACATAATAATGATAATCAGATACTGGAGATAGTCAGAAACACGTTTCATTCGTCACAGACGGAAAAAAGCTTTAAAAATAGACTAGAATTAGCAGGCAATAAAGTTTTATCAATTTTCAGATAGTGTATAATAAAATTTGATATTGAAAATACTAACACATCTGAACTAAATATAACGCATTAATTTCATATGCAGCAGTAACATATGAAACAGAAGTTAGCCGTAGTACATCTAAAATATTCCCCACGAGAGCAATCCGACTTAATCCTTACCTATCAAACTTGATATATCACGCCAATTAACAAGCTCAATAGCCTGGGAAGATTTACCATGAAACCAGCTCACATTAAACAGAGTTTCGACTGTGAGAGTTTATGATTGGAACTGTGTTCGATCGGGTACGGTACGTGCCACACGAGGCCATTTGATTAGTACCTACCACTATACCGAACTGTCGGCCCGGAATACGTCTGTCCTGCCAGGGTTGAAAACGAAATTGTACTAAATTCAATACAAAAAAAAATTGTTAAAATATATGCTACTAATTTAATTTATATTTTCATTATTTATGTCTTTTTAGAAACTTAATGTAAAGATACGATAACAACAAATATTACAATACCTTAGATTTTAACAATTGTGTATTTTACACTGTAATTAATTATTTATCTTTTCACTATTATCTCTATTTAATAATCAGGCACTGACTTAAAGTACAAGTTAAAACTCCTACATTGAATATATCTATGACATTAAGATTGAACAATTTATGTATCTTTTTCAAATAAATTTGTATAAATGAATACCTATTTCCTTTGGTAACATCATCGATAACATAACTTGATCACGACTCAATCGATTTTATTTGTCATTTCTTTGTTGTTTTCTAATACTATGTATGTAATAAATTCTTACATATTATAAGTAAGATATTTATAAATATGTCTATATATAGTTCTTTACTATATATAAACACCCTTTTAAATATCTATATTATATTTCTACTCGATGAACACAAATAATACACGTATAATATATATAACTCAAAGGTGACTAACATAGTGATCTATCAACGCACAGCCCAAACCACTGACGGATCGGGCTGAAATTTGACATGCAGGTGGATATTATGACGTAGGCATCCGCTAAGGAAGGATTTTGATTAATTCTACCCCTAAGGGGATAAAATAGGGGATGAAAGTTTGTATGAAACTTTATCAATTTTAAACCGATCGGGCTGAGATTTTGCTTGCATAAAGCTACTATAACGTAGGCATCCCCTAAGAAAGGATTTTGATGAATTCCACCCCCAAGAGGATAAATTAACGCGAGCGAAGCCGCGGACAAAGGCTAGTACACGTATAATATTGGATTCTTAAAATCTATTCACAAATATAAATTCGTAAAAACATTATTTAAATAACATTACGCGAGTATTATGATAGATAGTAGAAAAGAACAGTTAATTTAGGTCCTCTTAACTCAAGTGATTAGCTAAACTGGCAGTAGTGATAGTGATAAAAACTTGCATAAGTGAATAAAATTATCCTAAATAAATAAATAATTTTGACTTTGCTTTAATACCTGGCAACCCTATTTTCTCTGTAAACTACAGCCTTCGACAGCATCTGTCCATTCTACAAATGCGTTTTGGTGTTTGCTTCGTTAGATGTGACGAGATTCTTGTTTCCCCTTTTTCGTGAATAGATTGTTGAAACGAAACAAAAAACTGTGCATTTTTAATTTTATTACACTATGTATAAAGAGAAATTAATTTTATTTTCTGCCTTAAAAATGTAATCTCAATGATTAGATACTATACATTATATAAATTTCAATCTTACATGACGAGAAAAGAAAATTTTCTGTTCAGATAACGTCTGTCTAGGTCATGATAGATCACTATTAAATGTTAGAACATCTATAAAGTAGTTTCTAAAAGTACAGGACAGACAGAAAAACCAGGTTAAATTGCTTTATTTCATTTTGTATTTCAAAAAAGAGTCTATAAACCTAAAAACTTTAATTGTACTGGTATAAAAATAAATCCTAAACTATAACCTAATCCTAAGTCTAATCAAAATCTGTGAATTTATTAAGTTTTTCTAACAAAGACAGTAGACTAAAGAAAGTTTGTCTAAAATAGTCTGCATAGGTCCTATCAATATAACTTTCCATCATGTGGACTAGCGACTTATTTCCGTATAAAATTGTACTAACCGACCTGCGCAAATTTGTTTGCTTCACATTTCCCCATTTTTGCAACATTTTTCATTGTAGTTCGCTCCTGTATAGCGTGATGGTATATAGCATATAGCATGCCTCAATAAAGGGCTATCCGATACTATAAAAAAATGAAATTTTCAAAATCAGTTCAGAGATTATTTCTATAACGTCACAATTTTTACCTCTTGGAACTGACTTTAACTGTACCTGGTAGTGAATTATTAATTGATGTAACTGAGTATATAAGTGAGATGTAGCTATGAAATTACAGGATACAAAGGCATGATACCTTACTACTACGGACGACACGGGTATGTTATTAAACATATGAAAATATATTAGACGGAAAAATCTAATGGCGTTCAATTTACCCCTCAGATTGGCTGCTGCGGTGCCGATGGTGCTATGGACTATATCAACTATAACAAACCACTACCATCTGAGTGCCGGGACTCCGTAACTGGCAACGCATACTTCCATGGCTGCGTCGATGAAATGACCTGGTACCTTGAAGGCAAGACTGGATGGTTGGCCGGAATCGTGCTTGCATCTTGTTTGATTTGTGTAAGATTTTTTTATCGCATAAATAACAGATGAGATTTTTCTTTTCTATGTCTGGGCAAGTCAATCATCATCATCATCATCTCTATTGATTATTACTTTAAAAAAACAAAAGAAACATCGAATCCAATAACACCAACCAAACCATCTAATAAAAGAGCAACACGCAAGTTTCTTGCTCGTTCTTCTTGTGATGAGACAGCTTTCCGAATGCGCGGTAGATTGAACAAAAATCTGATGACTATCCAAAAATGCTTCAATATTTATTTGAATAAATAATTTTCTATTCTATTCATGAACTATAATATTCTACTAAATCTTCTATGTAAAACTGTAGTACTCGAGTCGCGTTTCTCTTGTATATCAGTTTCCTAGGCACCGCATCAAATGGCAGAAAAGACAAATGTCAATTTATGGGAGACGGTTCATTTTTTACTTTCGTTTTGGTTATTATTTTTCTTAACAGAAACATCTTTACGACGGTAATTCCAAATTGGGTAATCACAGGCATTGTCAACTGTCGATGTAATGTGATAACCGCAGTACTGGACAAGAGCGTATTTATTTATTATTCTTATAAACGGATATATATATATATTAATTTTATAAATAGATAATTTAAAATACATTTAATTTTTATATATAAATTTAGACTTCTATTCTGTACAATTTTTGTTTTACTTCATGACATCTCCGTACTCCGAATAATTTTATTTCTTTACTATTCTCCAGATGAATATCAAAATGACAACAATTTTGTTACTCAAAAAATGTAATTTATTATTAAGCATATTTTTTCTACAGGTAATCAACGCTGTCATATCTCTGATCCTCATTCAAGCAGTGAAAAAAGAAAAGGAATATGAAGAAAGAAAAGCACTAAGGACACATTCATATAATTAGAATAAACATATCTATAGGTACTTAGTATAACGTATAGGTAAAAAACTTTTAAGTAAGATTAAAAGTTTTATTATGATCGTTATTTAATAGTATTTAAGTAGATAATAATATATTTGTATTATATATATATGTGTATGTATATTCTATATTTTAAGATAAGTAGGTGGAAAAGGAAAATGTTTCACACTCAACGCAACAGGAATCAAACCCATACCTCAGCAATCCGCACCTACTCGTTGTAACAACACCGATGGTGCCAACGTCTTGTTTAATGCTATTTAAAATGTAGTCAAGATATTTTCATGGCTTTGGGCACGCATAACCAAACAAAACCAAACACGAGATTCAAGATGTTTTACTTTGTCAGCCGGTCACATTTCTGATACTCTCCCCTTTCTAGTGTAAAGTCACATATTTGCCATTTAGACCGAGTATGAACACTCACTAAAAAAGGATGTAAACCAATATATATATATCTATATATTAATATATTTACATTAGATAAAGTTAGAAATAATTTTAAATTCTTTGATAATTATAGTTCAAATTTCAAGTTTTAATACTAAAATATGTGAAATTTTAAAATGTGACGTCACGATGTTTATTCCTATCCCTTGTCACACAATGTCATACTTTGTCCTAATTGGACACAGTACAGTTGACCGTCCAAGGGCAGCTTCCAGCTGTCAAATCTAACGGATCAAATCCTACCGCATCTGTTTGAAGATTATATTTTCCACCTTAATGTATTTATATCTAAATTAATAATGAGAACAATATATTTCTTTAGTAATTCTATTATTTTTACAGTAACCACCGTTTTACATAAAATTATTTGATGACTTATTGAATAAAAATATGTTTTTCTAAAACTGTGGTTTTTTATATGGAATACAATAGCGAACTAGCTGACGATCCATTTGATGGTAATTATATACATTTAGATTAACAATATTAGTTGCTATGAATTTTTCAATATATTTTGTAAAATAGAAAAATGGTATTTCCGGGTTCTGGATAAAACTGGAGTTTTTCATTAAAAACAAGCGTCGATTAATATTCTTTTTAACATAGAATAGGGTAAATTCAATATAACATAAGGATCTCGCGGCAAATGAGGAAAAAATGACACAAAAAATGTATAGAAAATAGTAAATAACAATTTATTTGTACGTTCATATTTGATCACGTGTCACATACAATGCCTATCTGCGTAATAATATCTGACAGAATTGAATCGGGATCAAATCACATGGTTTTAATATAATTAAACGGTTTTACATTTTAGAGAGAATGGGATTGTGATAAAATTAAAACTTTCTGTGTTTTATGTGCAGTTATATTAGAAGTATCGTATATCTACAACATCTATACATATAAATAAAATTGTAGTGTCTGTTTGTAATACTGAAATCATTTTTTACTACATGCATATTAATATAAATACATTTTTACAATTTTTGTCTGTCTGTCTGTTTGTTCCGGCTAATCTCTGAAATGGCTGGACCGATTTTGATGGGGCATTTTTTGGCAGGTAGCTGATGTAATAAGGAGTAATTTAGGCTAGGCTAAGGAGTATTTTAGAAAAATAAATTTAATTTCCACGCTCACGAAGTCGCGAGTACAGCTAGTTGTATATATAACAAATACCTTAACGATTAACTGATGCATTAAGGAACTAAAAGATAACAAACAAATTTAGTTTCACATTTATAATATTAGCAAAGGTTTACACACTACCGCTATGAAAACAAACAATATTCACTTTGACTTTTCCGTTCAAAGCCGGGTCCATTTCCTCGAAATAACAACGGATGGCGGAAACCACGCCCGCCTTCTATGAACTTTCGTTCAATCCACAATGCCGAACAAATCTACCACATCCCTCTTCTTAAGGTAAGTTCATAGTAAACAGGTTTTTGATACAAATTCAAATTCAAAATATCTTTATTTATTTAGATCTATTACAGACTCTTATGATATGTCAAAACTACCGTCAGTTCGGAATGATTTCGAGATGAGAAGAACTGACAAGAAACTCAGCTCGTATTTTTTTTTAATAATTGTTGTACATATTTACCATAATATAGATTAATTTAAATTCAAATTTGGGAGAATAGAGTGACCACCAGCATAAAAACAAAAAATCTAATCGGTGTTCGCAACCTGAATAGACCAGTCCCCACAAGCAGCACGCGTTCATGAGTATGACGTATGAAATCCTTACCAACATTTTATATATTCTCTTTTAGGTATTCTAACCAGAGCTAGCTTTTATATACAGTATCTGCCTCACTCATTTCAGCCGCCGACTGCTTGCTTTGTGAGCTGTGTTTCGGATCGAAATCCTAATCTTCTGGAATAACAGTGCATGACCGGTGTCACAGGTGTCACATATTGACGTTACGTTAATGATGCTGTTCATGTATATAGGTGACAGTTGCTACTTTATAGGTGAACCACAAGAAATTTGACATTCCAATTACAAAAATAAACCAAGGGGTGACATCTATACATATAAATAAAATTGTAGTATCATCATCATCGCAGCCCGGAAGACGTCCACTGCTGGACATAGGCCTCCCCCAAAGACCTCCACGACGATCGGTCTGTAATATCTTGACCAGAAATAACTATTGGAGTATATGTTTGATTTTTTACTACATGCATATAAATAAAATGACACATGCAAATATATATGACACATACGCCAAAATAACATTTTTTACAATTCTTATCTGTCTGTCTGTTTGTTCCGGCTAATCTCTGAAATGACGGGACCGATTTTGACGGGACTTTTATTGGCAGGTAGCTGATGTAATAATGAGTAATTTACGCTACTTTTATTTTAGAAAAATTCTCTAATTAACTTTTTTGTTAAATTCCATGCGGACGAAGTCGCAGCTCTACAGGTAGCTAGTATTAAATAAAATAGTAGAATATGAATAGAATAGAATAGAATAGAAAATCATTTATTCAAATAAACTTAATTTAAGCACTTTTGAATAGTCATAACAATTTGTTTTTTATCTACCACTCGTTCGGAAATTCATCACAAGAAGAACGAGCAAGAAACTTGTGTGTTGCTCTTTTAAATAATCCTTGTAAGTTTACATTTACAAGTCGAAACGTGTGAATACAAACTACCAACAAGCACTAATTTTTTGGGTCAAATATAATCATGCAATAAGATTAAATCAGTCGTAGTGATAAGAGCAGACCAGTCCCTACAAGCAGCACTCGTTCACGAGTATGACGGATGAGCCAGCCATCACTGCGCTTACGCCGCCACATGTCTGGACATTTTAGTGAGCATGACTACTCATTCCGCACGACCACGTCACAGCTACAAAAATGTTATGTTTGTGGAATCCATAAACATCAGCTACTAATTTATGTACCAAATATTTTAGCGATCAATTATATTACACACTATCCCCTACTATGTTAAGGTCATGGCGCAGTGCCAATATATACCGTATTATTAATATACAAAGCGCGTAATTCAATCAACTTGGTGTTTCAATTTATCGACGGATCCAGTTGAGATGTACAGATGATAAACAACAGTTATGTAATAGCGAATCGTGTAGCGTACCACGCTTCCGGACAGTAGCTAATATCCGGACGAATATAGTATCAACAGACGTCTGCTAAGAACAAACAGATCCAACGTACTCCCGCCCTAACTTACTTGGTCTAATTGTTTGTTGGTCTCAACTTTGTTACAAATGGTTCTTGATATAATTTACCGTTAATCCGTGATATAAAGGCGTGATATCCAGCTGAGATGTAATATATAATTCGTATAATAAGTTGACAAAGTTTTACCAAATCACATATAAACAAATATTGATTTAAACATATTATGGTGACTGTCTCCCGGTATAGTACACTGCTTTATTTTTGATGGTCTCGGGTTCTATTCCTCGCACGGTGCATATTCATGAGAATGATTGTTTGGGTGTATTCTATGTATATTAAGTATTTCTAAAAAAAAGTACTAAGTATTTATATCAGTTGTCCAGAGTTATTTATTTATTTATATTAGATGTGATATTTATCATATAAATTCTATGCAGTAACCATTTTCCTGAATGTTTTTATCATTCCTATATAAGAACTAACAACACCATAGTAAGAGAAAGAGAGAGAGAGATCTATACACATCTCTTAGTTTACCCGTCAATAGTTTCTGCCGCAATTCATCATAAGATTTCACAGCTATAGTTACACATGTATAACATAAGTGTACGTTTGGCTTTATTTGATTTGAAAATTATTATGCATTCACAATGTTCAAATTGAATAAAGTACTTATATACGTAATTTAATAATAAATTATAGGCCAGCCAGCATGTAAATTATCGACCGCAAACTTTCTATCGTATCAAAATTCGCGAAATTTATTAACCCAAATCGGATACATACTGAGAACAATTTTACAAACGATTCTTTTATAGAAAAGAGCTTGAGCCATCTTATTTTTCTATTTAAATTGATTCTGTAGACTTTCTCAATGTTCAGTAAACCGATTAAATATTAAAGTACTTATGCTAGGCTTTTTCTACTGTATTGATTTTTTCTTTATTTAAACTAATTATAGAATATATTATAATAGACAAAGAATTAGTATAGACATATAAATAGACATGTAATACTGACTAATTACATTTAGATTTACTAAGAGAATAAACTTATAAATGTTGCATAAATTTTTAATTTGTCTAGAACTTTCTATATTCCGTATCATAAACACAACAGACAACCATCGTGTTAAGAGGTCTTTCTGAAATCGGAAAAGGAAGCGTACTTCAAAAGTAGAGTCCAAGCCCCATAGTTAGTCCCATATTACTTGCTCATGAAATTGATGTGCATATAAACCGTTACGTTATCCAATTAAGCTGGGAGCAACGAACACGGCATCAATATCCGGCGCAGAATGATCTAATACGTGCCAAGTGGAGTACCGGTCTGGCAACGTAAATACGACTGATTGCTTCGCCCTCTGGTATAAAGTCTAAGTTGGTAAGTTCTATTAGACCTGAAGCCAAATTTCACTATGTTTATCAAGTACTAGTTATATCTATCATTCAGTTAAGAAATGATCTTCCAAAAGAATTAAATTATTATATTTAATGTCATGTATTTATAAAGAAGTAGATAAACTAGATGTTAAAGTAACAAGGGGTGGGGAAGGATTTCTTTGCTTACCATTTTAAGTCACAATTTACATTGATATTGACATTATGTAATTATTTCAAAATTAACAGGTTTTAAAAAAATAAGAAAACACAATAAAGTGTATATACCTACTTATATCTAAATTCTCTATTTGTATATAGCCAAGCAGCTTACATGTAAACTGTATTAGGTATTGAAGGGTGAGTAAAAGTAATAAAATAAGTGAGTATGAAGATATAAAATTTACTACTCAAGTATGGCGTCACGTTTTAGTGCTACTATCGATATATTCACAGTCACCTAGATTTTCATTATAAGTCATAAAAGATACTAAAACAAATTGTATTAAAAAAATTTAAACTCATTAAACAACTTCTTTCAAACAATTTACAGTAACAATTTCTTTCAAATTTTTGAATGGGTATAGTTACTTTAAGAAACCCAACAAAATATAATCGTTTTTTAATTTTCTCTACAAATTTACAACTTACCTTACAATAAAGCAACACGTTGAATTGCCTCGCTTTGGACGCCAGACGTCTGTAAATTTTATACAACAAATTCAAGTATAGTTTCTCGTGTTTTCTTTCATAAAAGCTAATGGAAAATTCATATTGGAGAAACTCAATAGAACGAGTTCAGAATTAGAATCAC